TGTTTGTTGGGAGGGGGGGGGGGGGGAGGAGAAAAGAGAGGGGAGGGATGGAGAGGAGGGAATTGGGAAGACAAGAAGAAAGGGCAAATGAAAGGATTCTAAAGTTACTCAGACTGGTCTGATCCTGAACAGAGGAAATAAAGCTTTGACTGAACATACAGACTGCAAGCTATTTAGTTCAGCTACAGTAAGCCTATGCAAAGAACAGGACCAATATGGATTTTTATTATTATTTGTACTAAAGTAAACTTATGGAGAACTCAATCTGATACTTAACATCAATGGAGTCTGTTGTGCTAAGGGGGGGGGGGTAAATACATATAGTACAGAGTTTTTAAGAGTTTATAGTAAAGAGTTTTAAGCCCCAGCACTGAGGGGCTTACAGTTTAAGCAGGTAAAATTTCTAGTGATAGAGATGTAGCCGTGTTAGTCTGGGGTAGCTGAAGCAAAATGCAGGACAATGTAGCACTTTAAAGACTAACAAGATGGTTTATTAGATGATGAGCTTTCGTGGGCCAGACCCACTTCCTCAGATCAAATAGTGGAAGAAAGTAGTCACAACCATATATACCAAAGGATACAATTAAAAAAAATGAACAAATATGAAAAGGACAAATCACATTGCAGAACAGGAGAGGGATGCAGGGGGAGGAAGGAAGGAAGGTAAGTTTCTGTGAATTGATTATATTAGAGGTAGGGAGAGTGGGATGTTTGTGAGTTAATGGTATTAGAGGTGATAATTGGGGAAACTATCTTGGTAATGGGTGAGATAGTTCAAATGTTTGTTGAGTCCTTTTAACCCCCAATTTAACTACAAAAAAAAATCTGCCTTCTCTGGGCACAGGAAAAGGTGATTTAGCAGAATAATGCAGTGCAGAAGACACATTACAAATGAAACATCAGTAATGTGTGTTTGAATAGGAAGGCTTCACAATTCCATATGTCTTCAGTGGCAGAATAAAAACTGGAAGCTGTAGGTAAAGCACTGTGCCATTGCTGACTTCTTCCTCCAAAACTAGCTTTTACTTCAGCCTGGCTACCCAGAAACAGGCAGAGACTCCATATAGATTTGCAGATCCAATGAATAAATCTTTTCTGTAAGTGGTTTATATTTCTACTTGAGACAGAAAAATGATGGAGCCTAATTTAGCTATAACTACTCAAGAGAGAGATCTTGGAGTCATTGTGGATAGTTCTCCGAAAACATTCACTCAATGTGCAGTAGCAATAAAAAGGCAAAAAGAATGTTAAGAATCATTAAAAAAGGTATAGAGAATAAGACAGAGAATATCTTAATGCCGCTATAGAAAACCACGGTATACCCACATCTTGAACACTACGTATAGATGTGGCTGCCTTATCTCAAAAAAATATATATTAGCATTGGAAAACGCTCAGAAAAGGGCAACAAAAATGATTAGGGGTTTGGAACGGGTCCCATAAGAAGAGAGATAAAGACTGGGATTTTTCAGCTTAGAAAACATGAGACTAAGTGGGGATATGATAGAGGTTTGTAAATCATAATTGGTGTGGAAAAAGTGTACGAGGAAAAGTTATTTACTTGTTTCCATAACGTAAGAACTAGAGGCACCAAATGAAATTAATAGGTAGGAGGTTTAAACAAGCAAAAGGAAGTTTTTCTTCACGCAACGCAGTGTCAACCTATGGAACTCCTTGCCACAAGATGTTGAAAATCAGGACTTTAACAGGGTTCAAAAAAGAAATAGGTACATTCATGTAGGTTAGGTCCATCAAGGGCTATTAGCCAGGATGGGTAGGAATGGTGCCCCTGGCCTTTGTCAGAGGCTGGAAATGGATGACAGAAGAAGGATCACTTGATGATTTCCTGTGCTGTTCACTCCCTCTGGGTCATCTGGCATTGGCCACTGTTGGAAGACAGGATGCTAGGCTAGATGGATCTTTGGTCTGACTCAGGATGGCCGTTCTCATGTTCTTATGTAAAAATAACTACCTTTCTGCAATAATGCTGTAAGGCAGCGATTAAAGTACATCACTGTAAGAAGGGATGCTCACTGGCAGCTGGCAGCACAGGGGAAAATGCACTGTATTCAAAAAGGATATACAGCCCATAGTCACTCAAACTAGCATGTTTATGTTTGGGCTTATAGAACAATGCAGACACATCTGGCTTCCTTCACCCTCAATTTTTACCAGGAGACAGAATCTACTGTCTTATGCCTTGACATTAGATTTTTTTTCTAATGAAATAATACATCTAGACAAGTATATCACATGACCACAAAGCTAAAAGTATATTTCAAACAGGGCAACCTATTACAAATAGATTATAAATTCCAGTTCTCAGATTTCTTGTCTTTTGGGTGCATGGTATTTAGTGTGTAGAGGTGTGTGTGTATTTCTCTCACTTACGTACACTATATGTAAAATGGGAAAAGAAGCTAAAACAATATGAAATTAATACTTACTATTCCAGAACTAAGATCATCTCTGTTGCAGTCTCATAAACCTCATGTAAATTAATGACCCAAAGGTTGCATTGTGCCAGTTCAAGAACAGCTATCTCATGAATTATTTCCATTCGACAGTCTTGGCCCTTTCTTCTTTTTCGCATGAATTTTGCTGCAAACTCCTTTTCTGTATCTTTCTTGACACACTTCTTCACTACTGCAAACTTCCCTCTGGAATTAAAGCAAAATATTAAATCAGATGGCTGATCCATAATTTAAATATTAAAAATATAAATCAAATGTTAATATTTTAGATAACTCAAACCATAGTTTGGAATACATTCCAAATGTAATGTTTTTACCCTGTTATTGGTGATATTTACTACACTTAATACTAGATACTGCTGGGACCAGTAACACATCAGAGTTCTTCAATATAGCTCTGCATATTCCACTTTTATGGGTAGTGTGCCACACAAAGATGCTTAACAGGAGAACTTTCTCCATGTAATGTCTGTTCAAGTGCTTGTTTCCCTTCCACCCAGTATATCTCAGACTTTTCTGAAGCAAAGCTATATAGAGAGGCACAGTGCCTCAGCACTTTTCACTGCCAAGCCAGAAATACAGAACAAAAAAAGCGAGGGAGGCATGCTGGAAGGGAAGTATGAGTATGCAGAGCCATCTCAAACCCTGAACTGATCTTTGTTTCTTCAAGTAACTCTACATATTTATTTCTTCAAGTAACTCTACTACTTATGGGTAGTTTGATAAGTAGTGCTGAAAACAGCCTGGAGAAACCAGAGCCTGAACTGAACAGAAATTGAAAAAAACAACAACTCTATCATACCGAGCATCAAATCCTGAATGCTAATCATGTCCACAATGTTTAGCAAGAGTGCATGTTTTCAGGATGTAGCCCTGAAAATCTCTGCAACAGGAACTTGCTCAAGGTGCACAAAAGATGGTGTCACACTTCTAAGATTGTACAACTGTAGGTGCACAATTTTCTGCAAACATGTAATATTCCCACAATGTTGCTTAATTAATCTAGAAACCTCGTAAGATCCTTGTTTACATTATTTGTGTCTTATGCTGATTTTAGTTCTCTCAATAATATGCAAGTACTCTTCTTGAATTTGTTTTAGGTACTTTGAATGCACTCTCACTAGTAAGTAGCCTTGAGAAAACTACCAGCAAATAAATGTAATTGATGTGAAACTTAGGAACCACTCCTGGCAAAAAACTGGGATGGGGTTAGGGATGTTAAGTATCGATTAACTGAATAGTAGAGTAACTTCATGAATTCTTATCAGTTATTCGACTATTCTATAGTCCTCGAGGGTGGGGCTGGCAGACAATGTGCTCCAGTCCCACTTCCCAGGAGCTCCCTGCCACTCCTCGCCATTGTATCAGAGGCAGCAGCAGCATGGGATGACAGGTGGGAGTTGGTCCATAAGGGGAGCCAGTTTAAAAACCAGCACCCCTCACAGACCTAAGGATGTTAAATATCGACTATGTCATAATCAGGAGTGCTGACCAGATGACTAAGGGGTTAACTCTGTTCCTAGTCAAGTATCTGGTCAGCCAATAACAATGCAGGTAGGAATTTCAAACTGGAACAAGAGAGTCTTTATCTTTCCCTCTTTTCCAGGTATTAAGGGAGATGGAAGACACTCCTCTCTCCAAGAACTGACTTCTTACAATGAGTAAGTAGGGAAAAGTTTAGCTAGTCCGTCAGGTTTTGTTGTTTTCCTGGTTTGGGAATTTGGAACTATGTCTGAGCTGGTTAAGTGTTTGGTCTTTCTTTGTAACTAAGTTTTAACCCAGAGGATTCCCCGAGAATCTTTATCAATTGGTGGCTCTTCCCATCCAGCTATGTACGGTGCTTGCAACTGTACTCTTATTTTGATAATAAAAGTTTTTTTTTCTAATTAATTAATTCTGGTTGATTCTTGTGTCCTTGAAGATGTGTCTGTGGGTCTCCTCTGTTTTCCCAACTCCAAGCAAAACGAAGGATGGGGCAGGGGAGAGTTTTACCTTAGGGAGGAGGTTTCCCAAGTAATCTCTTCCCTGCTTTTCTTACAATTACTTGGATGGTGGCAGAGGATTTCCCAAAATCCAGGTATTAGGATTTTGGGGGGAAGTTTTTGTACCAAAGCCTGTAAAGACAAGGTTTTGGGGTGCTCTTGCGGGCCCCCATTTTTGCATTTGTCATGCCAGAGTGGCAGACAGATTAATTGACTTCAATTAGTCAACAGGGCGATTCCGCCTTTGAAGTGTAGCAACAACCCTAAAGGCTATTGCTATACTTCAAAGGCAAAAGCACGGCCGTGGAGAGCCTGATGCTAGGCTCCCCGCAATGTTTCAAAGAGGCAGCAGCACACAGAACCCCAGGTCAGTGGGGGAATCCCCAGCTGATCCCTGGCTCCACACAGCACTGCTGCTTTGAAATGCCACGTGCAGTCTGGGGACACCATAGCTGGCCCCAGGCTGCACGCAGTGTTCCTAAGCAGCAGCGCCACGTGAAGCCTGGGGTCTAGCTCCAGGCTTCAAGTGGCAATGCCGCTTTGAAGTACCCCCTTCTTAATCCCCGCTTGCTGCCTTTTACTGATAGAGGCTGCAAGGGGGAGGGAAGCTACTAGTTGACTACGCAGACCTGCTGCCTGTCACCCCATGCCACTACTTCTGATACAGAGGCAGCAGCGCAGGGTGGCATCAGCCTCTGTCCCAGGAGAGGAGGGGGGTGAGCTCCTGGACCCAGCGTGAGCCAGAACTGAGCTTGGCGGGCTGCCTGCCTGCCTGGCTCCTAATACACTTTAAATGCAGAGCTGCAGCAGAGGTAGGTCTCAAATCGGGTGAGAGCCAGGACTGAGCTAGACTGTTGGCCAGCCTGCTAAAAAATTTACTGGCAGGGGGAGAGGGAAAATGCGTGTATTCTATAGCATTAATCTGAAATTTTTGCTTATTGATTAATCAGTTAATCGACTACACTATTACATCCCTAAATGGGGGTCTACAAACCCATCTTATCTTTATGAAGGGACAAATGGTGGGTCAACTATCAAAAGGTTTGGTTTACTCATCCTTCGGACTGATTGGATAGCAACAAAGAATGCCATTTTAAGAGCTAAATAATGAACAGAAACACTCAAGGATTCAAAAGTTGGTTTCACAAGTGTAGATAAGTCCAAATTAAGATCCCAAGGAGTAATAAGTTCTCTCAAAGGGGGAATACATAGTAGATGGTCTCTTCACACACTTTATACTTATATTATCCACAAACAGTGACCTACCATCAACCAAAACTCAGTAAACTGAAATAGCTCCCAAAGAACTTTCAAAGACAAGTTTGATAATGCCTCCCCTTTAAGTATATTAAATATTCTAAAATTCATTATATGAAAGCCAAGACAAAATAATTAGATTTTCCCTGTTTTCAAGCCATGAATATGGACCCTTTCCAATAACAAAATACACACAGATAGTTTTCTAGAACAAAGCAATGCATTCTTGTGCACCAAGGAGCATGAGTCTTGGAGAATTGATAGTCAATGTCTGATCGCCCAAGAGGTTAGATGAAGGAATTGTGGATCTAGAATTAAAGATCCTTCTCTTTTGCTGAGAAGGAAGATTATATATGAAGACACCAGAAAAGAGCTGAAGCAGATCCATAAGTCCTTGGTAATGTGGCTAAGCCAGAGCAGTCAGAATTATCTTTGCCTGTCCTGACTAATCACCTTCACCACTTTTTGGATCAATAAAAAGGGTAACAGGAGGTATACAGAAGGCTCCTTCCTTAATGAAGGAAAAATCCAAGGTGGACTGACTGTCTCTTCCCACTCCCCATCAGGAGAGGTGCCACTCTGTTGAACTTTGTAGCAAAAGAGATCCACATCTGGTCAATCCCAACAAGAAACACTTAGAGTCAAGTGATCTTTCATGAATTATTCATGCATTTGAGAAAATGCTGCTTGCTGCTCAGAAGATCTGCAATTATGTCATTTCCTGCTAAATGCAATGCCACCAGATTTAAAATTGCCATACAGAATGCCATACAGAATGCAAAGATTTATTTTGTATGTAGCCGCCACCAGATTTAAAATTGCCATACAGAATGCACTAGTCCCATAAAAAGATTTATTTTGTATGTAGCTGAGCAAAGTGAGCACCCTCATTTGCTGGTATAAAACTTAGCGGCTATATTGTGGGTTGCTATTTAAACAGCCTTCCTGTATATGTGAGGCAAAAACAATGTGAGGGCCAGATGAAGTTTCTCTTATCTTCAATATGTTTATGTGCAAGCTCCTCTACTGAGAAACCTACTGATCCCAAAACGTAGGATGACTCAGATGTACCCAACCCCTACCAGCCATTGTCTTCTGAAGCTACCCTCACACTGATAGAAGGGATTTGAACTGAACATCTCTAAGGACCTTAGGTCTGACTGCCTACCACATCAGCGAGTCCAGAACATCGAATTAAACACTAACATTTGAAGGTCATCGAGAGTTGGCTTGTTGGCCACACATCCTATGATGCATTGGACTAATTCTGAGATGCTCACAGAGATTCACGTTAGTTGTAGCCATGAGATTCAAGAGGTTAACTTTGAGTCTGAAATATTTGAGTGTTTAAAATACACTGCACTACAGGCAGTCCCCGGGTTACATGGATCCGACATACATCGGATCCCTACTTACAAACGGGGTGAGGCAACCCCGCACTAGCTGCTTCCCCCCAGCAGACCAGGGAGATGCGGAGCAGCTTTTCTCAGCAGACACCTCAGCTTGAGAATAAAGGACTGAGGGAAGTGAGGTGTGGGAGAATAAAACTGAGCTCTGGAGAAATGTTTGGCTAGAGTTTCCCCTACAATATGTACCAGTTCTGACTTACATACAAATTCAACTTAAGAACAAACCTACAGTCCCTATCTTGTACGTAACCCGGGAACTGCCTATACTTTAAAAAAATCTGTCCTATGGTAAAAAGGCTTTTGAGAGTCCAATACAGCACTTAAGAATAAAATGTTGAACAGATATAACTTGACATTCAGAAATTGTTCCAGGTTTGAAAAAACTGGGTGATTGTGTAAGTCAGTGGTTCCCAACCACGGCAGGCTATGGATCTCTGGCTGGCAGGCTGTGGCAGCTCTGGGGGCTGGGGCATACCGCTTTTTCCACAGGTGTTGAGAGAGGCGTGTTCTGCTCTGCCTCAGCCAATTAGTACTGGGC